TCTCACTCAACCCCAGATACCAGTTGGACAGTGGGAAAGGAAATCAAAAAATAAGATCGAATGGCGTTTAACTCTCTCGTCCCTAACTTCAATCCGATGAAGAAAAAGGACAATTATTATTATTATTTATTATTAAATAGTCATGAAAACTTTCTTTCATGAATCTATAAGACCGATTTTCCTGAAAATGCTTATTTTCCCTTGCGAAGAATCGGAGATGACTCAGCAATGCTAACTATTCATGAAAAAATGATTTACGTGCAAAAAACTCTGACGTCGGATACTCTTAAATGAATCTTATTTTTGTACGCTCTTGTACTTTCTTTGTCCTGTATGACTTATAGAGAAAATTCAACTTAAACTTGGATGTGTTGCGTTCGCCTTTTTTTCCGAAAGTCATTTTCTCCAATGCAAATCAAAAAAAAGTTAAAAATAATAGAATATAAGAAGAAACCTGCAAAATCAGAAGAGTTTACCACTTTAACTGTCATAGTTCTGTGGAATAGTGCCATTCTTCTTGAAGAATTTACTAATATCGCACTAAGACTGATAAATTGTCTGTCTAAAAATAATCCGTTTCGATCTATCGTAAAACAAACCGAACAGAATACATTCGGCTAATTTCTAACCGATTTATGCCGTTTGTTTTATGGATGTCTTTTTAGTGTGGTCTTGTTATGTCCTATAATAATATGCCATAATAATGTATCATTTTTTTACAAAATTCTATAAGACGGCACCAGATCTTGTACCACGCTTTTCTCTTGGGTATTCATTCTCAAAATGTTCGACTATTTTTTGCTTTGGAGGAATAATTTGTTAAAACGTATATTTTCGTCTGTTTGAGATAGATAAGTATATTCCACAAGAGATTCAAAAATTCAACGGTGAAAATAATAATATATTCTTGTATGCATATGTCGGCTATAGTCCGAAAGAGGTCGTTGTAGGCAGTTTGTTTTCTAGCTATTTTATTTCTAAATCTTTCAAGTGATATCCAGCATGATATTTAAGGTGAATCAATTCTTTTTAATAAAATAGTTATAGGTGCACCTAGCATCTCAGAGCAGGGGATGGTCCTGCCAAAAAAATCTTTTTTGTTCTTCTAAAACAGATGTTTTTCTGAAGAACAAAAGACACAAAACATAAACTTTTCTGAAAGCAAGGGGACGGGGGTGAGGACAATATAAGAATATTCTATTGCCCATTCTAAGTAAACTTTTCTTATTCACAACAAAGAAAAGGTAAAAAGTTTTTCCTACTAGATATTTCCTATCATGATTTTCTCTTTTACCAAAAATGTGTGTGCGTGTTTTTTGCAACACTAGCTATGCGTGTAAAAAAAACTATTCGTACCTCGGTGTTGTTTTTCCTTTGATTGAATGTACTACTACTTCTACTATACGATTATAGATAGCAAAACGAATCACCTGGAGATAGATAAAAAATAAAGTGTCATCAGACGAGAATCAAAGTTATTTGTCGTCATCATCTCTTTTTCTCCATGCACTAAGGTATACTGATATTTAGTGAGTCGCACGTCGACAATAAATTTTTCTCTTTCTTTAGATTGAAAGAAACTTTCGTGATAGAGACTGATAATAATTGACACATGTTTCTACGATATACGAGGGTAATCGATAGCTCAATGTTACTAGAAAAAACTTTAGTTAGTTCGTTCGCTATTCTTTATTATTTTTAAATATACCAAGTATCAAATTTACTCAAAACGAAAAAACGTGTGATCCAAATTAAAAATGTACATTTATTTATTAGAGTATTCTTGATAGAACACAATATGGAATCACAGAATAAGGATGAAAAAAACCAATAGTCTCACTAACGATAAACAAAATTAGTAGAGCGAAATAACAGAAATACGATCAGTATAATTAAAACCAGAGTACAATCATTCTGCTTCTCTTTTTCTATTCATACGAATAATCGAATACCGGTTATATTGTTCTCCAACATTATCATCTTATTTTTTCCAGTATAAATACCCGAAAGATACAACAGATTTATTCAACGATCATGTAACATTTCTAAAGTAGATCGTCGTTTTTTTTATCGTTCAAATATAACAAAAAGATTTCTCATCTGAGTGGTATCAGACTATAAATGTCTATCAAACATTATCCAGAGTTTATTTTAGTGTAACTGTGTCTTTTCTATATTGTTGAAATATAAATCATTGCTCTCGGAAATAACTAGTCGCTATCAGAAAAAAATATTGATTGATTGACATCGTCATAGTCTATATCCAAAATCGACATTTATTTTTGTGATGACGTTTTCTAATCATTTTCACGTTTATTTTCTCCGTATGTCTATTGTTCTTATTTTGATTAATGACTACCTGTATGCTGTTTATAGTCTCAAAAAATGATTTATTAGTATTCGAATGTCATAATATAGAATAATGAAGAAAAAAAAAATAATAATTTTGTTCTTTCACAGATGAATCTATCTCATTTGATATGATATTATTTTCCAATTGTTTCGAACTCAATGAACAAGAAATTATCAGAACACCTATGGCAAAAAAGTTTTTTTTTTAATTTATTTATCGCACTGTGTGACGTAAGTAGACAAAGAGTAAGAGAAAGAGATAGAGTGAATAATAAAAGTTTTTTTTATAATCAACATCATAATAATTATAAATAATTAGAGTCAATTCAAAATTTAAAAACTAACATTGTACAAAATGAAAAAGTTCTACCTGTTTTCATTTATACAGATTTGTTATAAAAAAAAGATCATAAAAGCATACTGATTACAGTAATTCTTTTTTCTTATTTTTATCTTGACGTGAAATTAAATTTGGTCGTCTTTATACTAGAAAACCGGAAGTATATAATGAAAGCGATTCGACATATATACTTAGTCAAATGAAGTTTCTTTTTATCATTTCTTAGCTCTTTCTTTTGAGAAGATATTCATTTATATACATTCTACAAGATTTTATCCTGAATTAAAAATATTGATTATTCATGAAAAGTTGGAAGATAAGAAAATATTAAAATAGTTTTATCATTAGATTTGTTTTACTGTTAAGATTTACAACTTAGCAGATATGTGAACAAAATTAAGATAATAACTTAAAATGAAAATATTTGAATCTCCCTGAATTTTCTCCCTTTAGTATATAAGAGCAGAAACAACGCACAGTGGATGAATATTTTTTAAAATTCACAAATAGCAATATGTCCGTTAGGATAACTCTATAAAAAAAAATGATATCAAACATACCAATGTTGATGTTGTAAAACTAGCTTTTCGTAGTTGCGAATTTCTTCGTTGATTAACAATCGATGTTCGTCGTTGATTTATCGATAATCGTCGTGTATCATATGTATATGTGTCCAATAATGAGGGTGTATTACTGGCACTTAAGAATGCATTTGACACATTCAATGTGATATTTCTTCCTGAATTTGTTGTTGTATTGATGGTAGTAGTGGTAGTAGAAGTTGTCGAAAGTAATAAATTATTACGATTATTTTCAAGACGAAACGATTTATACGACATTATATCCTCTAGTTAAATTTGTTAGACATCTATTTATAATATTCACACAATTAAAGAGAAATTGAACAATAAAAAAAAAGTAATGTACGAAAAAGTAATGTTACGTTTTTCGCTCGGAATGAGAAAGAAAAAGAATAGATTTCCTTTTTTTTTTTTGTTTATAAAATATTTGTTTTTGTATCTTCATTTACGTTAAGATTCGTTTTGTATGTATATGTGTGTGTGTGTGCCGTGTGGCAATGCTCTATCAAGGAATCGCAGAGAGTAAGAGAGAGAGAGAGAGAGAGAGAGAGAAAAAGAGACAAAATGGAACAATAATACAAAAAACATCTAAACATCCATAAGAACATAACGTTCTCAGAGTTTTTAGTTTATGAATGATGATAATAGTTGATTTTCTTCTAGTTTTTTCACAAAAAAAAAAGAAAAACTTAAGAGAAATACTACTCTAGATAAATGAGACTGTCTGTTACTTGAATGGCGCTAGATATATGTTATTATAACGATTATTATCATTACTATATATACGTATGATAATGATGATGATGGTTTGTTCCATCGGTCGGAGCTTTTCTTTTCCTTATTTTTCTTCTGCTTTTCTTTCAGTTATTGATAATAGGTTTTTTCTCTCATCCTATAGAGAAGAGTAACATTAAGTAGCATATAGATTTTATAGTAGTATATGTGTAAGATATTAGATGTTTTTTTTTATTGCTCAATGATTTTTAGCGATAAAAATCATCATCTTGTTATAATAGCGATCGAAACAACAAAAAAAATCGAAACTCTATCATCGTCATCAACATTCGAAATGTATCTGTTACATTAAACGACCAATGAATAATCATTTTTCTCTTCTTCAAAAGAAACAAAACTTATTCGATCTTCTTTTTAAATAGAAATAAATAGAAAAGGGAAAACAGAAGCGAGAGAATGTTATTCAATATATTCCTCATATAAATAAATGTCAAGTTGAATTAGTATTGGACGATGCAATAACAACAATCGTCTAAATGTCAGTATGTATTAATCACATTTATTAATGAAGTACACTTGATACTATAACGACTGCGATTTTCCGTCTCAATGCGATTTTCTCATAAGCTTATCGCATAATGTAAAACACAATTTTTAGAATAATTTTTCATATACATCATTTTTATATAGATGCTGAAAATTCATAGAGACCGTCTATACTGATTGTTACAAATCAGAGATTATTAAATTATGACTATTATAATATTCTTGTTTACATTGCAATATATACTTTTTGTGTCTGCATAATGTATGAAAAAAATTTCGAGAATTTGCAATGATGAATTGTTTGTCATACCATAGACGAATGATGATGCATAAGAAAACTATTGATCCTAATTATTTTAGAATAATACGAACATTTGTTTTTTTTTTTGAAAAAGATAAGTAAATCGCATGACTATTTTAGATAACGTTCTTTCAAGAAAAATTAGATAAAAGGTTTACTATTCTTCGTGCTTATACTTGAAATATCACTCATCAAGGATATGTTTGATGACTGTTTGTAGAATCACATGTTCAATAGAAACGTGTATGATCTTTACTTCGCATGTTAAGAAATAGTGATCGAATAAAAACACAATATGATAAAAAGAAGATTGAATACACTTTAAGAAAGCAATGGTACGAAAATGGGTTTGTGGTAATAAAAAAAAGCATTTACGTACTAAGAGACTACTTAAGTTAGTCTTTAGAATCATAAAATTTAAATTGTGTAAAAAAGTTTTAAAATACTTCAGACACTCATTTCAGTGACAATAATAATAATAACAATAATGGAATACACGTCTTTTTTTTTCACTTTGACATTTAATATTAATGTATGAATTCTGTTAAATCAAGTATGATCTCTCGCTTCATAAAAAAATAATAATTAGACAATATAATAGTTTGCTGCAATGGACAAATGTTTTACGCTTTTACCCTTGATTTAGACCACAATTTGTACTATGAACGCAATTAGTTGAATGAAAATAAGAACGAATTATTTCACATTCGTGTTATCTATTTCCGTTCTTTCTTTTTCTTTTTCTTTCTCTCTTACTCTTCTTTTGTTTTTTATTGTCTTCATTTTATTCCACTTTTTCTTTTCATGATATTTTCTGTACAAGTGTCATCTGCATGCATACAGAGTAGATTAAAAATGAATTTAAAAGATACTTGACAAAAAAATGAGAACATTTTTTTTGTTTTGTTCTTACTAGCAAATGTACTATACGTAATTGATTTGAAATAGAATAAAAACAATGATTGATTATTAAAGACTTGTTAATTACTCTTCTTTTAACCAATGTTTAGAGTATAAACGATCGACTAAGTGATTTCTTTTATTGTTTTTAATCCTTAAAAACAAATAAATATACGCTCAATACGACCAACTATTAGATAAATTTGATAATCGTCTCGAACAACTAACTGTAGTAGAAAACAGCTTTTAATAAATTAGAGGAAGAAAATTGTTTGATTCAAATATAAATAATTTAAGTGTTTTAACACGAACGAATTAATGCTATAAAGAAGATCAAATACTTGAAAATAAGATATGAAATACAATAGTTGAAGAATTTATCATTATCTGGTTTTTTTTATGTTTCATATTGGTTAAAGATGAAACATAAAATTCTTTTCGAAAAATAAAACATTTAAATTCAAATTTATTTCTATGTTTTCTTGCAGATGTGAGCAATAGTTGAAATCATTTAGATCATGTCAGACATACATAATATTATAGCAACAGAAGTCAAGGTTTTTAATCTTATTAGACGCCGAAATCATCATTGTTTTTGTGTTCTATCAGCTGAAATAGTAAAAGTAAAAATATCGTGTTTATTATCTAAATGACATGAATAATACCACTTATGAAGTCTCACAAAGACTAAGGTCATGACGTTTCTGTTTAATCGTCAACAATACAATGTATGCCGTTTATTTTTTTTTTTTTGCTGACTTTACAACGATGATCAATTTTTTCATTTATATAGGAAAAACGACATGAAAGTACATTTATCTTAAATAGAGAAGATAGTAATGTGATCCCGAAAAAAAATAATGAAGCAAACAAACAAACACGTCTCTCTAAAAACAACTTGTTTATTTTATATCTGTATGATGTGATTATACAATCTATAATGTTTGCTTACACGTACAAATCAATGTATACAAGAATGAAAATAACATCTCAAATATAAATTGACAAAAATTCTACTACAATATCACTATCCCACACAATCTTACACTATTACTTTTTTTTGTTTTTTACTCATATCATAATTTTCTAACTCAATAGGCAAATATAGTGAAAATGTGGATAATATTAAACAGGAAACGACCATCATTTTCAACAATTGAAAAAATATTCTATAGAAATGAAAAAAATGTCTAGAATGATGTTTATTTTTGTGAAAAATTAATCTTATACATTTTTCTTATTGGCTTTTTTCATTTTTGAATTATCCTGCTTATGTGAGTGATGCATACATAATACGAACTGCATAAGATCAAAAATTTTGTTTTAAATCTCAAAAACCTTGTACGCTTTATAATACAAACACACGGAAAAAAACAAGATGTTGCTTCTCTCCTGCAATGTTCTAGTGTCTTAATTATTCTTATTTCATATTAAAAAACTAAAAATCGAATGTTATTTTTCTGACTACTTTTGTAATTGTTACATTAATGAGTTTTAGTGACAAATTATAGAGTCTCATTTGTGAATATATTCTATTCGCTTTTTTTTTCAAATACTTACTTTTAAGTTTATTCATGTATTTTTTTAAGTTATAAATCTTACCTTTCTTTCTATTTGATGCATAATAGGTAAGAAATACAATAAAAACATGAACAGACAATTTTAACGTATTATGCAGTTTTTCTATAGAGTGAACAGAAATTTTAGATCGAGTATTCATAAACAAGTTTATGATTTGCTTTATACAGAAACACTTGAATGATCGTGGAAGATGAAATTATTTTATATATACAAAAGAGAGTACTTAAAAATATAATGCTAGAAAAAACATTAATGAGCATGAAAACTTTGACTTTCCTAAAAACATATTTTTTTTTTCTTTCTTTTAATATATTGATTTAAAGATTAGTGAGCACGTATCATCGATATTTAACGATACAGTATGTAATGCATCTCGAATGTTCACTAATCGATATACTGCCGAAAACGTAATGGGATCTACCTATATAATCGTGAAAAAACGTTGATGTCATAATGACATGAAGGCGTGGTTTTAATAAATTGTCTCATGGGAAAAACAGGAGTAATCTATGGGTGTATATACGAGTGCGAGAACGTTATTCAAATAAAATTTCATAAATGATTACTAAAAAAAGTCAACTCCCTATATTCATTATCGATAAGAACATAACGAGAAGAATTTCAACTGGGAAACACAAAATAAATCGATGCGATTAGTTAAATAGTTTTTTTTTCTCTCTCTCTCTTTCTGTCATTATGAGACAGCTGAGTATTTTTTTTATTTTTTGTTCCTTTTCTTCGTTTTTTTTGATTAAGTAAACGTTTTTCTTTTATCTCCGGAAAAAAAGAGAGAAGGTCTTTAAACGAGTCATTCTCATCTAAATCAATTTTTTCCAATAAAAAATATATATTATGCACGACAGGTTAAGAAAAACTAATGGTTTTTTTTCATGATCATCTAACTTGTACGATAAAATAAGGTACATACACATGTCATATAACCATACATATAAGAAATACGTTTAGACATGATTTCATGTATATAGACTATAAAAAAAGGAATTATTGATTATAAGACTGATACGTATCCATAGTATTAGTTGAGACTAGACACAACAATAGTCGTCTTTTCAGAAAACAAATCTTCTGATTTTCACACATACTACTTAAAGAGTATAGTATAATAATTGTTTGTTCAAACTTCATGTAGCGACTTTGTTAATGTTTTTCTTTGGAAAAAAAATATGATTATCATCACCTAGTCACGTATTTTAAATATAAGACAAAATTTTTTATTTTATTTTACACACGCTCAACTCTCTATGCATAGATTTGATATAAATTTAATAAACTAATCATAGAAAAAATTTCGGAGGCAATATCGGAGTTTAGTGACGTTTTTATTTCAGAATATATTGTGTTCTCACACATAGTTGAACAGCTGGTAGTCGAATTGAGAATGTAATAACTCACTTTGATAAAAATTTTATATTTTCAAATACAACTATTTTATAAGTGCATATTAAATTTAGACTATGGTTTATGTGTACTTAGCTTATATAATAATATAGATCAAGGGTTTATAACTTTCTTACAAATTACTAACCTGTGGAGTTTGTTCTATAACGCTAAATACACATGGATCATTTGACATTTCTATACAAGAGAAATGAACCATACAGAGACAAGTTTTTTAAAATGAAATTAGAAAACTCGACAGAAAAAAATGATAATGATAATATGATGACTTATTCAAAAGCGTGTAAATTTACTCGCTTGGAAAAAATAACAAAAGAAGAAAAAAAAAAGAAGAATGTGTCCAAGACGTATATTTACCCGATATAAATACCTTTCCTTCTTTGTTATACACACACACAATCATTCTCAACCTTTTAAAGAATTAGAACAGAAAAAAACATACACAAACACTAATGAAAACATGTTCATTTTCTTTGAGTTTCCTTCTTTACTTTTTAAAAAAAAAATTGAGACGGGAAAATTTGTGTCTTAAGAATGTGTTTTCAACGATGAATATCCTTATCAAGTTTATTAATAATTCAAAATATCATCAAACAAGACTTCTACCCTATGAAAATTGTATAATACACGTGCAAATATTCATCATGTCACTGGTCATGGAAACAATCAACTATCGAATATAATTCAAACATTTTCTTAAGATAGTACATGGGAAAAACATCCAGTTAAGTTTTATTGCAACTTCATAAGTAAAACTAAAGAAAACGCTACAACTTAGCGGTTAAAGAAAGAGATACTACTAGAAAGTTTCTATATGACACAGCATACAAATAAATGTTTATTAACAACAATCATCAACTTAACAAAATTTTACGTTACAGCTTGAAATATAAAATTTCTGATCGATTATGGCGACAAAAAAACATCGAGAAAGATGTCGCTTTCTTACATGATATTAAAACTCGGTTTGTTGTTTCTTGTTTGTGATAATTTTTAAAAACTTCTTTTTTGTTTTATAACCATCTCTTTCAATTCAATCGATTTACAAAGACGAATTCACAAACAAAAACAACATATCCCATTTGACACTTACCTCGTGGGATCTGCTAATATCTTTTTTTTGAAGAAATTGTTTCCGTTTGGCCAAACCCAATGTTCCAACGCCTTTCAACTCCATGCCCTAGAATGGTATAAATAAGAAAAATAGATTAGTAGTTTGAATATCTTTTATAACTTAAACATTGAATGCAGTTGTTATTTTTATAGAGTTTTGCTCGGTTATTCAATATATGAATTTGAAGAATCGATGTTTAAACCAGAAATAGTCTAAATATACAATTTAGAAATTGGAAGACAAGAAATTCATCCATAGCACTTCTATTATTATTGTTTTGCATCTTTATTTTGACAAAAATATCGATAATAATCCATGTCACGAGACTCTGCTTTTTTTCTCTCATCCCTGTGGAAAATCTCATCGCATGACCACTGTCTCACATTCGTAGAAAAATGTTTGACGTAATTCCTACATTGTTTCTTGATTGAATTAATTTTTATCCACCATACTCCACTATCAAATTGTTTCTTACGCTTACACACACTATCAGATGTGGAGGAAGAGGGCGGACATATTAAACTCTCTAAAAATCTAAAATCAACAATTCAAAAAGTACAAGAAAATTACTTTACAAGAAAAAGTTAACTTTCTTCTCGTTTAAGAACATATTCTCCAACATTCGTTTATACATGATTTTGAGCCTGAAAACTTTAGCTCCATTTCCTTGAATTTGTTCTGTCTTTTAGAATAAATAAAACAACAAAGAGCTTGAAAAAGTGCTCTTTTTCACTTTTTATTAATCACATTCTTCTTCCTCGTACACCAAGAAACGTTTACAGGAAAGGTGCAAGTGTTCAATTAGTTGCACGCTGCATATTTTTATTTTTATTTTTTCTTCCTCTGTAAAAAATTATTATTCAAAGGCTTGAACTCACTCTGTATTCCGTGTCAAATATCTGTCAAAGTATCATACGAAATCAGTTTTGTTTTACTTCCGTTTATCTAGTATGATCTAAACTGTAAAAGTATATTTAGGTTTGAGCTCAGAATTTCTCTCTCTCTCTCTATATATATATATTTTCTACTGCTCATCTAATATAAACAATCCACATAAAAATGAATGAGCGAGGGAGAACGGAGTAGGCATATAATCTATTTTTAATTCTTTGACTGTTGATGAAACTGGAAAAAAGATTGCATCACTACTAGCAAACGGTATCACTTTCATTAGTATTTTAGCAAAAATTACTGACGGTACAAATAGCGTCGTACTGATGTGCATCAGTACCAAAAAAATTTATTATTCTTGTACCGGTGCGCATCCATGCCAAATTTCGTTTGCAATCATCGTTTTGTTTTGCCAACGACTGCGTATATAAACACTACAGTATACTTATAGTATTTCAAATGTCTTTTGCAGTTCATCTTTTCTTTCTCATAAGAGAAGTACCGGAGGAATATCCTATGATTATGGCGTAGCAATGTGGAACTAATACTTATGCTAGTGTCACTCTTCAATTAATTGAAATACAAAATTAAGTAAAAGCAAATGTAATAAGAAATAATTATTGATTAAATAAATTCCACTATCTCGTTGAAATACTTTTTGTTGATGCAACATTGAATTCTAGCAATATACCATCGTCATGCGACACTGAATAATATCGATGTGGTATCGTTTTTCAAGCAAAAAAAAACATTGTCTAGCATCGTCCGGGCAACGGTGCGCACCGATCTTTGACTATGTCAGTGACACATAGCGTGGCATGCACATCGATCCGCATCGTCGATGCACAATCATTTCTTTTTCAATGTCACATTGAATTTTTTGTTTTGTTGAGTACTATACTCGAGTAAAAACGTGCTACTTACACTATCACTTTCGTAAACAACGGCAACGTATCTTCACACACATAATAGAAAAAAACTCTTACAGTCTTGCCAGGCTAAAACAGAACTTTATTTATCATCTATCGCGCTAGTTTTTAATGACAATTATCAAGAAATAATGTGAATGCAGACCGAGAGAAAACATGCTGATAAACACAGATTTACAAAAAAACATATTTAACTAAAACTGTCTACAGCAATTGCATTACAATTTATGTTTAATTTGTATAGATCCAAAAATACTAGTTTCGCCAATTAAGAGTTAATCCACAAGCGCAAAAATAGTAATTGATAAAATATGGTCTGATAGTAAAAATATAAAGACAAAGAAGAGTACTACATGATAAATGTAAATGTATATAAATTAGTTTAATTTACATACTATTCTCGTATTTATCACAAATTATTTTGCCTACCCATAGAACGGTTAGTGGACAAACATACTCGAACCTTTTTATCCTAACTCAACTAACTTTTACTCATCTTTTTCATGCAGTTGTTATTTAATAATATAAAATTACGATAATAATCTAATTTCTTAATATTTACTAATCTACTAACATTTCCTATTCATGCAGATGTATCTACTACCTGTTGGTTTGTTACATGTAATCCGTCTTTTCCTTTTCGATTTGTATCAGGCGAAAGATGTTTAAATAATAACAACTGTTGTTGTTGTTGTTGTTGAACTGGATATTCTACATTTTGTGTTGTTGTGATTCTTTGTTGTGTTATTAATTTTTTTCTCAATGATCGTCTACTAGTATTATTATTGTTTATTGTATCTTTCGGCATTATATTACTATTAGTCTCATTTGATGTTGGAAATGCTGACGCTTGATGAACTTGTTGTTGATGTTTAAAAGATTTTTTATGATTTAAACTATCAAATGGATTAGACGATTTAGTTGTATCCATTTTTTTGAATAAATTAATGTCAAAAATTGAGTTTTAATTAGCGATATGTAATTGGAACAATATGCACACTTAAAATCGATGAAGTGAATTAGAATAATAATAATAATAATACGGTGAAACAACAATAAATAGACGACGATTCTTTTCTTTTCTATTCCAATTAATCAAACACCCTAGACTATCAAATACACCTTATTTTCATCACGTCAAATTTTATTGTCAAACACAGGAAAAATAATTCTCTCACTTCTCTCTCTCTTTCTCTCCCTCTCTCTTTCTCTCTCAATAAAACATATATGAACCGGTTTTTTGTAATAGGATGATGATGATGAAGAGGAGAAAAAAAAAGTCAAGAAAATAATTATCGAACAGCGCACAAAAGGGAAAACAGGGGGCATCAATAAATGGTTCCCTAAACGCTGAGACTTGAAAACTGTATGCAACACAAAAAAAGAGAAAAGCCTAAAGAATTATTATTATATTTATCTCTGGTATTTAGTCTCCATTTTTTTTCTTCTGAAAGTGATCGCGTAAAATAATTCTCGCAGTAAACAATGTAATGGCGACATTTTGAGAAGAAATTGGAGCACTAGTAATTATTTATTATCATCAACATAATTCATAATTGTCTTTGTTGGTGTGTATCTACACATATTTGATTAAGCGAGAACACAGAAACAAAAAAAAAAAAACGAAAAACCATTCACCAACACGCCATATGGGAAGCACCGATGGTTGTTATTCATGTCCATTGTATGACAAGTTTATAGACTCTACGAATAACTCTGCATTTTTGTTTGTTCATTATAATCAGGTTCCTTAAGCAAATGAGGAGGTTAAACATTTTCTATATGAAAAAATCTATATAATAAAGGATAGTATATTTTGGATGTCATCATAGTGCAATAGCTGGAAACAAGAGTTCTTAATAAATCTAAAACAACTCCTAGTTCTCATAAGGATTTACATCCTCTTTTTTTTTTAGTATTTTATTTTCATACGATACATGCCATTCCATCTAATTTCCTGTTTGATGTAACTTTCAATATCAAAGTAAACCTGCCAGTAGAATTCATATTCATTTACAAAAAGTAACTGAATAAGCCGATTAGAAACAACATTATGTATGTGAGTATGTTTTTGACTTAACTAGAATAAAATGAACATATGACGATGTTCTTTAACAGCGTTTTTTTTTCAATGAAAAAAAAACTATATCTTGTTCGGAAAAAATAGAACAGTAAGTTGTTAGAAACGAAGTTGAAATTTAAAACATATTAACAAATTAGATGTAGAGAGAAAGAGAAAAAATTAAGAAAATAATAATATATCACGAAAAATTATTGTTTCGTTGAATGATAACCAGGTGTAATATCATTTTTTTTTTGCTTGGACAGAACTCTCAATTCGAAAGCGTTTAAAGGAGACATGAAAAAATCATGTGTGTTTGAGACTGGATATATTAAAAAACACGGTACTAGATAATAAAAAAATAGTATTGGACATATCTACATATTAGTTCTATACATATTGTAATAAAAATTTTCTATAATATATCCAAAAACATCATAATTGTAATTTAAATTAACAAACAAGATAATACTCATAAAATTTAGTTTCTATATATAATTATTAGACACACCATTTTAAAAGAATACTTCAAAAACTCTCAAAATAACTATTGGAAAATCTTCAATTTACTATACAGTAAGTCACGCATGTTTTAGTAATCATTTCGAATACATTTTTGTTGACCATAAATTGTCATTAACATGAAACAGAGTACAATTCAATAATACAATATAAAGATTAGCAACAATCAACGTAGTTTTTTTTTTTATTCTTTTTGTTAATTGTAATGATCAATTTCTAGTGTTAACTTTTGATTTAACTTAACTATAGTTTAATCTCTATAGATGACATGTGTTCATGTTTATTTCTTTTTTTTTTTCATTTTCCTGATTATTATATACGTTGTCATATTTCTCAAGAGAGCAGCCATCACAATGCGACATCTTTCGTAAATGTTACTTTTTGCCACATTTTTTTACTATTGAAACTAGAGCTGGACACCTTCAGAGTCAAGAAATTTTTGTAGTGAAATTGGATTCGAATTTTTGAAAAAATTCAATCAGAACTTGAACTTGAGAACAAAAAAAGTTTTTATTTTATAGCAGCAGAAAACAGAAAGAAAGATGTATTGGAATATAAAGGTAAAGACTATGTCATATTATTTTCCGAATTACATATAGAGGAAAAAGAATGTGAGTAAAGTATACGATAGACAAAATAGACGAAAATAGCCAAATGTGTATATCAGAGATGGCATGTCTAAGTTCGGACTCGTGCAATCTTCTGACGGATTTGGACTTAGACGGTTCGCAGACTTGTTCAATTCTAATCGACATTGGCTGGTTGTTTCTTTTTCACAATTTAAAAATATTTGACCTCATTGAAAAAAACTGTATTTTATTTCATTATATATGGAATTAATTCATGAAAGTGGCTAAATAAATATACAGACTCATAGTTTTTCCTCTACTTTCTCCTGATCACATAATGTGTAAACTAAGACGTAGCTTTTAATACAAAATATTTTACATATTCAGAACCTGCGCAACGCCCTCTTTTTTTTTATCACAAATTTATGAACAATAGAGATAAAAACCGTATGCTAAAAAAAAATATGAAACTTTTAGTATTATTTATCATTTTTTTTTCTTGTCGACAAAGAAAATCTAATAGACAGACATTGGTGCTTAGAGTCGCTGCCATTTTTCTTTATTTTGTTCAATGAAGCATTCCTTTAAACAACAAGAAAATAATAAAACTTCATTGTCATCTAAACTTCCTTCCTGATATAGTGAAACTTCAGTTGTATAAACTTTTCACATGCATAAGAAAAACAACGCTTAAGCAAGTGCTCTATAGATCATCTCTCTATCGATTCGACTTAATTTCATTTTTATATGATTGAGAGCTTTAACAAAAAAAAAAAAATAATAATATTTTTCTTCTTCTTTCTCTCTTATATTCATGTCGTGTAAAATAAAAATAAAATAAAAAACACATATTTACCAGATAGATACACACACTCATACAATATGAACTCATTTGGAATGATGAATTCGATTAAATTAATTTCACACCAAATAAGAAATAGATCTTATGTTACAAATAAGACTGATCAAAACAATCTTACTTTTTACATTTATTTGCTCATTACTCTCTACTATATGCAATAATAATGATGTTTATTTATTATTCAGATCACGTCTAATTTGTAGTATATTCTTAAATTTGTTCTTCCTACACAGTTACAAATACCACTTGATAGATAATTCAACCACTTACCATATACTGATTTCCAGCAACTGATGCTTGAATAACATAACAAGCCATAAAGTTGTTATTTCTTCGTTTTTAAATAATATACATAGATAAAAAATTAATTATTGACACTAATATTCATTTAAAAAGTCTGTTGAAACATTCTCTTGAATAATTGTCGCGCATTTTACATTTTTATTTAATTGTTTAAAATGTGCATATAAGACATTTTATGATCTATTAATAATCAACATCTTTCACTCAACAAAAAACGTACTCTTTCCAACTTAATTTTCAATTCTTTTTTTATTTTTGTTTTTTTATCGTCGTCACAAATTATCATCATCCTCCACGAAACATTATTATATTTTTTTGCAATGAACAACTACTGTAGTTTGTCTATTTTCAACAAGCTAAGAATAAGAGATAGAAGAAAACAGAGATAGACAATTTCTCTTCATTTTTGTTTCGTCTTTTCTTTTTTTACTCTAAATAATGATATTTTCAAAATTCAGGTTGATAACGGGTTAAGAAATTCTCTATAGTTTTTCTATTTAGTTTTCTTCTTTTCTTTACATATTTACTTGCTACATACATACATGATGAATATAAATAACATTTACTTTAATAAATTAATCGATATTTTTATGAATAATTTTATTTCGACTCATCGTATCGTATCTATCCTACCATTTCTTCGGTTCTCAAAATGTGAAAATGCAGATTATATCTTTACAGGCGTGTCCATATGATAAATTACGTCTTTTTGGTATTTACACGGAATGATCTATTGACTCATCCATGTGTGGTGCGTGAAACGCACAGGTCCGTTACAAAACATATTTTCTTAATTAACAGTAAAAGATGTCATTCAAACATGCCATCGGGACTACGATCTGCTGAGTCTACTATCACCATATCTACCTAATATTATCCATTAGCTCTACCATAACTCCAACACCGCCTTTTATGCCCGCTCTACACCAAAATGCCAATTGTACCAAGATTGTAGAAATGTTAGCCGATTATTTTATTAGCACCACCGTTAGAAATCTAAGAAGAATGCGCTTTTCCTGGTTCAAAAAAACTTGAAAACGGCGATGATTCAACATTCCAAATTTTTCGATAGTGGTGACATGAAATTTTCAAAAAGTTGATCGACACGATTAACATCTGTACATGAAGACATATTTTTGTGTAATAACAATTGATCTATTTAGGTTTATCGAAGTTTGAGATTGTGCAATCAAATTATCATACACGATTATGTAGAGAATTCGAAATATTGATTTTACTTATATTCACACATAGAAAACTTTTGTCAATGGGAATACACGTAAAAAAGCGGAGTCTTTGATAGTCGACAAAATCTTAAACATTCACATAGATATTATGTATCAATTTTACGAAAAATATGTATCTTTAGTGGAAAAAGTAAAGAAAAGATGATCACTCGAAATTGAAATATTTGATGTAAAATTAATTGATTATATCGTCAAAAATTACAATATCGAGCAATATTCGATCCGAATTCATCTTTTTTCAATAAATTCTTAGATAAACTTCTTCACCAGAACCAATCAAATACTTAATCATATGAGAAGAAATGAGTTTGCACTTGTTACTAATCAATCAAGTTTCATATGAAAATAAATTTTCACTAAAAAATA